ATTTTGAAACTAAAGTGTAGCTTCAAGAAAGGTAACCTTAAAATGAGAATGAAGAAAGTGTATAACGTTAATATCTCTGCACGATCTTTTAGTTCCAGACCCATTAAAATCTATGAAAGATCTTTTAATTCTAGACCCATCAATATATCTGAAAGACCCATTCTTGAATATGGAAAAAAAATATGAAAGATGTTTTGATATTTATAAGTGTTTCCCTTATTTCTACATAGGAAAATATAAGGATGGAATTGCCCAAAGACGTCACACTAAAGGCTGTAATTGCAAACGATCTGGCTGTTTAAAAAATTATTGTGAATGTTATGAGGTGAGACCCAGTAATGACTTAGGTATTATAATAATGTACTTGTACATAATAATCTTCTAAAACACAAAAACAGATGAGTATGGATTTAAAAATAATGTCATATTAATGTGTTGGTTTTTTGTAATAGTATAGATTATAAAGAGAGTAATGTGATGATAGAAAGAAAGAAATTTAGTGATCTTCCTAAAGAAATATTTTAGTTTGAATTCACTCTAACAGAAGTCAAACTAGCAAGTTGTTTAACTTTTATTAATTCCATGCAACTTGGGATTTGTACTATCATTCACGTTGCTGCTGTAATATACTGAAGGAATGAGTATTTTGATTGTTGCTAGGTGACCTAAACCAAGGTCTGAGAATTACCTTTTAGCTTGCACAAGAAAGCCAATTATACACGTATCGATTAAATTATTTAATCATATCCAATAAATATGATCATGGTGATGAAAAAATATTCATTATACATCTGCAAGATAGTTTAAGTATATACTTCTTATTTTAAAAAAATAGGTGGTTTCCAGGCCTTATGATTTTTTAGATAGTTTAAGTATATACTTCTTATGTTAAAAAACAACAAAAAAATAGGTAGTTTCCAGGCCTTATGATTTTTTAGATAGTTTAAGTATATACTTCTTATGTTAACAACAACAAAAACTAGTTGGTTTCCAGACCTTATTATTTTTGTGTGTATGTGTGTGTTGAAATGTTTTTTTTCCAATATTTCTTGTTTGAAGTTCTAATAGCACCTAGTTGGCATGGTAGAGAATATTTTTCTACACCCAGGTCGTGTATACTAAAGAAATGAAAAAAAATTGAATCCACCCTCTAAAAGAAGAAGAATGTTTGTTCCACTCATACATTCTCTTAAAAATCTGGCTAGAGAGACTGAAACCAAAGTTTCTGTGCAAAAGCAATCCAAGTGTACAATATTATAAAACTGGTTACAGTAGTGTCTGATGCAACAGTGTTAACTGTGTGTGCATGGGTGGAGGTCCAGTGTGCATGTCAGGAATTTTTACACAACTTTTCAAAACTTAATTGAAGTACCTCTTTATAGATGCTTATCAATAAACTTGACATCATATTTTAATATTGTATAAGTCATAATTTCTTAATTTTAAAAGAAAATATTTAAATAGATTCTCAATCTTCACTTCTCTGTATCACATGATACTTGTCCAAATTACCCATTTTAGATACTGTCACTAACCCTACATATAATTCCTGAGTTTAACATAAATTACAAATTTATAATATAGATATTGCTAAGACATATTATAATCTGATAGCCTCCATACATCTTGGTTTACAGAGATACATAGACCAGAAATTCAAACTCGCATGTCACACCCTTCTATCATATCACATTTGTTTTTCAAAAAATGGCAAAAAAGTCTGGCATTTGCTAGTGTTTATTTATAATCAATAGAAGAAAATTTCAGTGTACTGATTTCCATAGAGTGCTATCTCATTCTCGCGATAGGGTTTGAGTTATTCTGCATTTATTTCGTAGTTTGCTATCGCTAAGGTCACCTTGACTGGGTAAGAGAGTTATTTTGATCTGTTTATAGCTTAGTTAGAAACCAAGTTAAAATAGTTTTAGGTCATTGTATTTTTTTGGATGTTAATATGTTGTGTTCGTAATTGCATACCTGTAATGAGCAAAAATTATGTAGTACTATGATCGTTACAAAAAAGTAGAGCTAAGTTTCATCAGAAAATAATTAGATCATATGTAAGTACTAAATTTCTTGTTTTTTATGTATATTCTTTATTGTTATAAAAGTAACTGAAACTTAAAAATTAGAAACTTGTTAGGTTTGAAAGGAAAAAAAAAACTGAAATATCTCTTATTGAGGTATGGATGCAAGCTGTTGGTGAATTGCATAATTCAGTACCTTGTTACGCAGGTTTAATAGATACTGTTCAAAGAGCAATAAATAGAATAAATAATCCTAAATAGAAAGTTTTACTGAAAATGTCTTGATATTCATTTAGGGGGTCCTAGAGTTTATGCAAATGAAAAATAATATTTTGATTCTTAACATGAAATATCATCTTGCCCTCAGACTAGTCAGAGGCCAAATCAAATTGACCAAAGTAAATTCTGAGACAAATCTTTAATAGAAATACTTTATTAAAAGTTCTGAGAATTTGTGTACAGCATAATTGTAATGCTTACTAAAAACCTGCCAAATTTTGTGAAGATACACTAAGGAAATTTAGAATTATAGTAAACGTTGATCCTCCAATGAAAAATATCCCTAACACGACACTCCAGAGTACGCATATTTCTCCTGATTATACCATGAAAAAGTAGTTCTGTGTTTCTTGTCTGTTTTATTGGTATCATAAAGACAGTTTTTCAACACAAACCTATTTTCAACCAAATTTAAAATAAACTTTTAAAATAAAAAAAAATGTTTAACCATGCCAACTGGGCACTTGCCAGAATCTTGATAAAGACATGGAGGAAAAAGAATTTCGTCTGTACACTTTGAGTTGGCCGCCCAGCTAAAAAAAATATGTAACTCCACATAATATTATAGAAAAAGAGCTTGAAACTTTCAGTAAGACCTTATTGTCAAAACCATTTCATGTTCAGGTATCTTTAAGTTGTGACATTAAAAAAAATCTATGGGAGAATTTTTAACTCTTGCTTTGTAATCTAAAGGTCTGAAAGGAAAGCCTTTAATGTAGAGCTTTTAATTAACCAATATGAATTTTCTTAGTTTGTAAGTAAAATTTTTAAAGAGATGCTTTCTATGAAGATTTAATATTGATATGGTAAATGAGGAAGGAATTAATAACTAATGTGAAGCTTTGAGAATAATTTGACAAACCTGGTTAGTTAGAATGTAAATACATTTGTTTCAGTTGAGTAACATGTATGGTTGTAAAGATGGTTGACCAAATTTGAAAAATAATTTTCTGTGAGGTTTGCCTTGATTATTAGTTTAAAAAAATATCTTCCTACTGAGCAAAAATAACAAACCTTGCTTAACTATTAAATACACTGTTATTATTTTATTAGCTCTTGTAAGTGTATAAAAATATTACTTTTTCTTGGGTTTTTTTTTCTTGACAAAATGTGAATATACTTTGGAATGTGAAGAGAATTGAACATGTCAGCATAAAATAAAATGAAAATATTTAAAATTAGTGTTGTCAATTATTATTACTACTGTTTTTCATTATTTCAACTATCAACATTATTGAAATATTGACTATGATTTCTCATTGTTTTCATTTAAATCGAGTTCATGCTGCTTAATCAATTAGTGTCACAACTGTCAAAAGTAATTATTAATCTGAATTAGTTTTTCTGATTATTCCAAATAATCCAGATATTGAAATACTGCCATTATGACTTCTCACTTATTTTTTCAATTAATTCAAGTTTGTTTAGATGACACACCCTGGAGATTAGAGTAGTTGCTTCTTGATAATTGTTCAATTCCCATTACCATCAAACATTCAATTTGTTAATGAGGCTATCTACCACTTTTCCTTACATTTTGAACTGCTGACTAGAAGGAAAAACTATGTGTGCAGCTATACAAGTTTTAATATATCATTTAAATGTCTAGCTCTACAGTGTGTTTATTATCTTCAAGTCCTAATCCAACCTACAGCAACACCCTAGAATTATAGTACATATAAAATGTTATCCTGATGACCTTTTTAGTTAGTGATCTTCTGTTTTGCAGTAAACTGTGACAACTTGTTAATTGGCATGTCTTTTCGAGAAAACCCGGTCTGCATAGTTTGGCACAGTGATGTTTTATACAGTTTGGAAACTTAGCTTTTATACATTAAGTTTCTTATTTTTTACAATAATTAAATATATCTTCAGGAGTTCATTAATTATAAAATCTGTAGATGGCCCAGCATAATGAAAAATATTATTACACAGCCTCTTATGCTTTTTGCCATACAGAGTCTTAACAAACATCAACTGTTACAACTTTTAGTTGTAAGTTAACATAAAAAATCAACAAAAAGTCTTTGAAAGATAATATTCTTTTCATTTACAAGGAAATACAATTAAAATAATGGTATAATATATACATATATATATTACTTTTATTAGATGATTCTTTATCTATCAAAAATCCCTTTTTAAAAATTGCTTTATTCCACAGCATTACATCTGTATTCTTTACCACTTGGGCAACTAAGAGTCCAAAGAGTACCTATAATTTTAAGCATACAAGAAAAGATAAGGTATTATTTAAGCTGTTTCTAACACTAAATATAAAGGAAACTTTTAATTATACATTTGGAATCAGGCCTAAAATGATAAGTTTTTGTCTTTTCTGGTATTTTTGTGACTTGTTACAAATTAAATGTCTGACAGTTATGCCTCATGATGATCATACAATAGGAAGTAGCAAAATAAATAGTTTTTAATGTTTGTCTCAGGATTTTGTTGGGTTTTTTTTGCTTTCAATTTGTAGGTAATGTATTTCAATTTATTTTTTGCTAAGCATTATTTCAGAACTCTATACAATTAGACTGACTTACTGTGGGTGAATGGTGTAGAAATGTTTTAAATGTTATTTGGTTATAGTTTAAATACTAAATGGTTTACAACCAATATTATATTTGAGTATCCAGCAGCAGGGTTGTAAATTTCACTTATGTTGTATAACTACTGGCCTTGTGTAGTTTTGTGCCAAACTAATATGATATTACACTGTGGAATTACTTCATTACTCTAATAAAAGTTAGAAGTCCGTGTAATAGGTGAAACATTTACTCATGACTTGGTCAAAGTGTGTAGTGTTACATTCAAAATTTAATTAAATGACTTTATTATTCTCAATAGAATTGGCATGAAAATTAAGTTTAATTCAATTTTTTGTTATCTAAGTTTTAACTTCTTACTTTCAAAATGAAATTTCAGACTTTATTTTTTATATAATGTCCAATTTCCCCACTACAGAGTTTCCTGACTTCTAACATAGGACCCTTGCAGTTTCTAGCTAATTATAAATACAAACTATACATAACTGCAAGCTAAAATCCAAAATTTGAACCTCCTACTTTTTTAATTGCTAAAATACCTATAAATTTGTCAAGTCACCAGAAAAACCTCTCCCTCTCTCTGACTTTTGAAATTCTTTGCTAATCAATTTTAAACAGATAATGAGCATGTTTATAACCAATAAAAAAACAGGTTCTCCTCCACATCAAACTTATGCTTACCGTCTTTTTTTAATTTGGCAGGGAAAATATGCACTTAATAGTTTTATTGGTTTTTCCCAGTCTGAATGGGTAACAGAATTTTTTAACCCATTTATTGCTTGCATAGTGCCTGATAATTTTTGTGTGTTCTGAAATGTATATTTGTAAGTTACCTAAATGCTTTGTACACCCAAATGTGAGAGACTCAACAAGACTTAGAGGAGAATGGCATATATTTTTTACTAAAGTGCAAACAGCTTGAATATGCATTAAGTACTATTTATTGTGTACTTTTTAATAAAAGAAACTTAAATGTTATAAACTTTTTAATTTAGTCTAACAAAACTTCAGTTGAATTTCGAAAATTACACTGTTATTGAGTGCCCGTGTGAAATATGACACTAAATTGTGTTAGCTGTATCAGAAATATCTAATGGACTCCTGTTATTTATTGGCTTTTACATAAAGATATCTGTTCCAGTGGTACAAAGTACAGCAATAAAGCAAAATTAAAAGATAACAGATGTGAAAAAGGTTAAAAGTTGAAGCTGTTTAGAAATAATTTGGGTACTTTTCCATTATACCCCAGCAATTTTACTAACTTTTCCGTTATGCCCCTGAAATTTTAAAAACGTTTTAAAATATATTTATATATAAATATAAAAAAAACATAAATATGCATTTTATTTATACAGTAAATGTCCATAATAAATTTCTAAAAATTTATTAATAATCATTATATTCACATAGTAAAAATTTACCATTTGCAGGGGTTTAACGGAATAGTACCGTAATTTGGGACTTTCTGATCAATAATGTAGTCAGTGCATAGTAAAAATGGTATTATTCATTTCATTTCATGTTTATAAACTTTCATTTAACTATACATTGATGATATCTCTCTTTTAATGTTATTGAAGATAAATTAAAAGGTACAGTACAGTTATTTACCAAAAAATACTTCTGACATTCATTTAGGAGGTTCTAGAGATTATGTAAATGAAATATGAAAACTTTAAGATGAAAAGAAGTATTTTTATTATTAGCTTGAAAATCACCTTTCACTCAGACTTGGTAAAGGTTTTGAAAATTCATAGACAAACTTTAGCAGAAATACTTCATTTTGTGTGTACAACATATAAAAGCTTTCCAAGTTTTGTGAAGATAAGTTTAGTAAGTAAAGAATTTTAGTATTCATAGTTTCACAATTCCAAAGTTGGTTAATTCAACCAGTTTCATTCTTACAGTGTTAATTGGTATTAAAATCAGAATTAGTTAGAAATTATCCCATCCACGTTTAGTAATGCATAAAATCCAAAATTTATTTCAGTTTTAAAATTGTAATTACATGTAAGTATGAATAGGATAGAACAAGTTAATTATCAAACTTTGAACTAGATGTGTGGATATAGAGCAATTTAATTATTAAAACTTTGAACTACATGTGTGGCTAGAACAAGTTAATTATTAAAACTTTAAACTAGATGTGTGGATATAGAGCAATTTAATTATTAAAACTTTGAACTAGATGTGTGGCTAGAACAAGTTAATTATTAAAACTTTAAACTAGATGTGTGGATATAGAGCAAGTTAATTATTAAAACTTTGATCTACATGTGTGGATATAGAGCAAGTTAATTATTAAAACTTTGAACTAGATGTGTGGATATAGAGCAAGTTAATTATTAAAACTTTAAACTATATGTGTGGATATAGAGCAAGTTAATTATTAAAACTTTAAACTACATGTGTGGATATAGAGCAAGTTAATTATTAAAACTTTAACTAGATGTGTGGCTAGAGCAAGTTAATTATTAAAACTTTAAACTAGATGTGTGGCTAGAACAAGTTAATTATTAAAACTTTGAACTAGATGTGTGGACAGAACAAGTTAATTATTAAAACTTTGAACTAGATGTGTGGACAGAACAAGTTAATTATTAAAACTTTGAACTGTATGTGTGGATAGAACAAGGTAATTATTAAAACTTTGAACTAGATGTGTGGATAGAACAAGGTAATTGTTAAAACTTTGAACTAGATGTGTGAATAGAACAAGTTAATTATTAAAACTTTGAACTAGATGTGTGGATAGAACAAGGTAATTATTAAAACTTTGAACTAGATGTGTGGATAGAACAAGGTAATTGTTAAAACTTTGAACTAGATGTGTGAATAGAACAAGTTAATTATTAAAACTTTGAACTAGATGTGTGGATAGAACAAGTTAATTATTAAAACTTTGAACTGTATGTTTAATGCCATTTTCCACTTTTCTTTTCATAATTGATTGTGAAAGGTAAAATTATAGAACTGTTCTCCGTTTATGGAATTTCACACCAATCATAAAATTTTGAGCGAAAATTCACTCATACACAATTACCAAATTCCTGGAGCACTTATTTAGATTTCATCTTATATCCTTAGTAATGGTTTAATAAAGCACAACTCTTATCCGTGAAACTCCTGCATATCATTAGGCTTAACATTTTCCATGTTACATATGTGTATAGTAAAATAAATTTATTAAATTGATGTAAAGTTATAAATAATTTAAAAAAAAGGCTAAAATAGAATTATGTTTTACTGTGTTATATAACTCTTAAAACTAAGTATTTTAATCAGTAGTATAAATGTTTACTTATCAACTAAACTCATGTCACCAAGTAATGCTTATTTTCATCAACAAAAATAATAGAGTTCTGATAGTCAATTCAAGGAAACATAATTATGAAGTTTTGAGCTATAATTTTATCATTTGTTTAATATTAACTGGTTAATTTCATTTTTAAGGTACATGTAATGCGGTTTCAGTTCTGATAATGAGGTAGATAAAACAGCTATAAAGTTACAAAGATTGTAGTTGTGTTAAGTATAGTGTGGTGCTTTGTGCCCTTAAGCAGATAGTTCTGTTAATTTTTTAAAATGTTTCATGTAAATAGTTCAAAAATTTGTTAGTTATAGCACTTTTTTATGCTGAATATATGAATAATGTATTTTCTTATTTATTAGTATTTTTAATGTTATTGATTTTTCTTTAGAAAATGAGTAATATATACTTATGAAAGACACAAACTTTGCACATTGATATGAAAAATTCTTTGATAATGTTTTGGCTAATGAGCTTCTAAGTATCTGTACCCGAAAGTAAATAGCAATAAATTCTACTCTAAATGTTTTCAAGGTCTTTCAAGGAAAAATTGTAAATGTTAGATTAAGCATATCCTTCCTAAAATAAGTTAATTGTTGTCCTACAGGCTTAAAATAAATGAATATGCATTAATTCAGTTATATAACAAAGGCTACAAAACTATGGAAGAAAATTTAAGAGGCATTTTTTTTTGTATACACAATACTAAGGACACCATGCTCTATGAGTAGTGTCTTACTTCACTGAAAGAAGTATTTGCAAATGAATGTACTAGTATAAAGTGTCCATGCAGTAATAATTTGATGGGAAAGTCATGGCAATAGAAACTTGGTTAATATTTCATATAATGGTAAAGAAAAGTTTTTATAACCTATGTAGTCAAACACAGTCACCCCCACTTAGTGTTCTCATTCTTATGCAGTTTTTATCTATGAAAAAATACAATTATATATTGATATATTTTATGTTAGTAGTACACACAAGAGCTGCACAGGTGTATTGTCAAAGTATTTTATGTCAACTTTGTATTAGGCAAAAATTATGTGTACACATCTGTGCAAGTGTGTGGGATGTAAAAACATTGAAGATAACTGTGAGAAAAAGACACTGATGCATCTTGCTGATGCTGTAGAGGTCAGAGTTCAACAACAGGCTGCTGCCAAAACTAAGATTTCCTTCCAGCTTCAAGACTTCCCAACTCGACCAGCAAATTTTTCTTCTGAAGGTCACAGGTATTTGAAACTGGTTTTTGTTAATTTTTTTCACACTGGTCTAATTTTGAAGTAGTAAAAAAAATGTTTAAGGAGCTTGTACATTTTTCACTCATTAATTTTTATTTTGTGATTTGTTCTGTCTGAATAAATTCCATAATTCAAGTAAAAATTTGTGTTCTTTCAGGAAAATATGTTTCAAGTTGAGTACTGATATTTAATTCAAATAAACATAACTGTGAAGTTATGAGCTATAATTGTAACATTTGTTTAATATTAACTGGTTTATTTAATTGTTAAGGTACATTTAATGGTGTTTGAGTTGTAATAATGAGATAGATAAAACAGCTACAAGGTTACAAAAATCATAGTTAGGATGCATATTAAAAAAATAAATGTTGTGATTAAGATAGGTTAATTTATTTTTAATCCATTGCCTTACCTTGTCATATCTATTCAAAAAGTTGTTCCTGATCAATTTGAATACCAATATTTAAGCTTACTGTCGTATAGTCATACATAAAATATTTTGCATTTGTTATGAGTTGTTCATTATTTGCCAAAAATGTATATAAATGGGGCAAAATTTTAAGGAAAAATAGTAAAGCAATGGGTTAATGTATTTTGAACTGATAGATTTCAGAAGAATTACTTGTGTATTTGATGTGTTTGGATCATGACAAGGTGAACTCTCTGAAGAATGATAAAAAAATAGACCTGTTGTTTGTCAGAGGATATAGGTATAATCTGTTATGTATTTTTTATACTTTATATTCTGATAATTGTATGCAAGTTCTATGTAATCTCCATGGTTTTTGTGGAACAGTTTTTACCTGAAGCTTAAAGATAAAAATATATAATACAAAAACGCTTGAAAAATTAGCCGTAATTTAGCAAAATTATGAGTTGAGAAAACTAACTGTAATGTGTTCATACACTCGGGAAATGACACTTTTGAAACATAATTCCATCATAGTTGTATAAGAAGTGTTCGAAATAGAATTACAATAAAATATGAACCTAACTTCAGGGATATAGTCAAGTGTGGTCTTGTAGAAAGAGATATTTTGTTTACAGGCTTTCCAAAAAGATTGTAAACACCTGTTCACTGAAAACTGTAATTCAAATTAAATTTATGTGAAAAAATAAAAATTTAAACTTAATTGTCAAGTCAGTTTTTCAGTGCTTGAAAAGTTAGAAGAAAAACAACATCCATTTAGGTGAAGGCTACGTACTTGAAATAATTATATTTACTTCGGATTATGAGAAACATACTGAACCCTGGCAAAGGATTTAGAATGTATGGTTTGTAAGCTCTGCAGACAGACTTAAATCTAGTCTTGGTTGTCACCAAATATAAAGTTGAATTACTTTTGTCAGTAACATTTATGAAAGATGAATTAAAGAAATGTTATTAGATTAGATAATGCATCTATATTTTTCTTTAAAATTGGTGATTTTATTGTTTAGTGAATTTAAGAGTAAACATTTTATGTGTGTTTCTTCGTGTGTTAAAAGTTAAGGTTTTCAAATACTCAGTGGTAGTGTAAGTATATACTTGTTATTTTTAAATTGTGTGTAGTCACATAACTTTGCTGTTTGGTATACATAGATTACCATGTGCCTTTGTGACTCAGGAGGTTGTGGAAGCTACAGTACAATGTCTCTTAGCTCAGGGTGAAGATGCTGAGAAGTCTGAACTTGTATTATCATTGGTCGAACAGCGTGTCTTAGAGGAGTTTGGAAAATGTCTCAGAAAAATAATTGAATGTTCTAGTAAATCCACAGGTGAATTTATAACTAGTTTTTTTGTAAAAAGAACATATATATACACATATATAATTTTTACTTTGGGGGTGGGGGGCTTGGTATAACATGATCCAGTAAATTTTTATAGGGTGAAATAAAACAATAGCGTTATTAAGATCATATTCTGTACTCAAGCCAGTCTCAAATGCTCTCATACCACTGAATAAAATGTGGGCCAATCAGAAGTCATATTAATAGCTAACTCATTCAGAACTTGAAACAGTCATATTAGTTTCATCAAAAAGTTGTTCGGATGCCACACTTATGAAAAAGAAAATTGAAAAGAAATAGGTAAAATAAATGCCATGCAAGTTTATTACTTAAACAATATCCATAAAGTAAAGATGAAAATATGAAAAAACATTAGCAACGAAATGGCATCCCAATACGGAACTCTTACCAAAATTGAATGTTGCAAAATTTAAGTCCAGATATAATGCCAAATTAGTCATGCATGAAATCATTCAAAATAAGGAGTAAATTGTGAAATTTTAACTTGTGGCAGGAAATCAAATGTGGAAATTAAATCATTCCTATTTTACATTATTTGTAGTTGATATCTCTTCATACTTTTCCATGTTGTTAATCAGAGAGTTAAAGTTTGTGGGAAAACTAAATTTTTTTTCTACACCAGGTTTTATAATTTTTATAGCAAGAAAATATAAGGTGTTTTAGTTTTAACAAAGTGAATGTCTTAATCTTTTATCAAATTTATTTTTATATGTGAAATTTTGATAAACCTATTAAAAGTACTCAGAATTTTACATTTTAGTGTTAGTTTTTATATGAAGAATAGTTTTATATTAATATTTTGACGGATTTATTTTTATTTATCAGATTATGAATACCTGTTAAAAATACTTTAGAATTAACAATATGAAATTAAAGATTTTATGTTTTAGTGTTGTGTTTTTTAGTTTTTTTACATCAATAATATTTTAACCTTTTATCAAATTAATTTTTCTACATAAAATTTAGAAAACCTGTTTAAAAGACACTTGGAATTAATAATGTGAAAATATAAATTGTACATTTTGATGTTTTAATTTTTACACTGACATTATCTTAACCTTTTTGCAAATTCGTTTTTCTGGGTGAAAGTTTGAAGTCCTACAAACAATACATTCAGAATGTTCATCTTTCTTTGTACTTAATTATGCTTCAATGACAGGAAATCTGCAGGCTACATAAATATTTATTAAAAGTGACATGTTTTCTTGATTTTTAACAAGAATACAAATAGTAATTTACTACTTAAGTTGAAATTATTTTATGAACTACTACCATTTCCTGGATCATTGACATTTCTGGACTACAGAAGTAAATGTGTAAGCTTGATTTCAAAATATTAATTTATCTTGTTGTGGTGAAATTCTAGATTTCTGCTAGATTTTGCATAAATCTAATTTGGTCTCTCTCTCTTTTTGTAATTTCAGACTTGCAGACATGACAGTTATTCAGGTCCACAAAAAGTTTCCAGGAAAGATCAAATCTCTAGCTAGTCATCAAGAGTTGAGTATATCTGCAGTCTTACATGTCAGAAAAATAAAACAGGCCAGAAAATTATAACTTCATCATGGATGCCACACTACTTTTCAGGGAAACAATTTTTTTTCTACGTAAAACTTAAACTTCAGTAAATGCAAAACCATATTTGACCTCAGGTTATTTTTTTTTGTTTTACATTTCTGATGTAGTACAAATTGGAATCTCACAAAACACATTTTTTTGAAGATGTGAGAAAAAATATTTCAGTATGAAGAAACTAAAGAATTATTGTACTGATATAATCAGATGTCATTGCATTTCAAATAATTGAAATGTACATGTATATACTTAATAATTTTGAAATGTGTATATATAACTACTTTTGCAAGCAAAACAAAGTATTAAAAATATGCTAGAAGAAATTAGCATAAGACATTTAACACGTGTAGTACACGTCTAACAATTTTTATCTGTACATACACTTGTGTGGAAACTATATTTATATTGAATTTATGAATTAACTAATTGTACATTTTTTAACAAAAATGTAACATTTACTGTGAGCTTTGATCTCTGTAGAAAATGTAGTTTATACAGTTTATAATATTTCTAAAATGTATTTTATTCTTTAGAGGGACTGAAATATAAGAATAATCTTTTTATTTCATTGTGCATCTTTAAAAAACAAAAAGATTTTATCCTACAAAATTGCCTGTTTTATTTTCTCTACAGTATCTCACCAGTAAAGATAGGAATTAAATAAAACATTAGGTAAAAAACTGGTCACTTGTATAAAACATTTTCACCAAGGAAAGACCCACATTGTTTATTTGCTGAATATGTGTGTGTATATTACAATAGACCTCAAAATTCCAAGTGTTTTATGTGCCTACGTATTTGACATCATGACTAAGAATACATTTTATATTTCAGTATATATTTTAATCATACTTTTATAAAAGTTATCCATAAGTACAACTTTCATATTTTAGAATCTTGTATTAGAAATGAAAAAATTTTGCATGTTAAAATTCTTCTGCCATTGCTGGAGATTTTACTAAACACATACATAAAAAAGGACAAATTTAAAGAAAGCTTCCACAGTTTATTAATTTTGCCTTAAAAAAACCTCCAACACAAGACTTCAACTAAAAGCAACTCCTTTTTGTAACACGTGTTGTATTTGCTTTAAGTATGTCTTAGTCTTAAAAATTTCATGTTACATACTGTTTCACTTCTGATTACAGAAGTGCATCTAGCACAATATGAGTATGTCACAAAGTGAATGATTATTCACACTATTAAAAAGAAAAACTATATAATTTCTGTAGTGCATATTGGTGTATAGAAGACGTAGTAATACTAGATATAAATGACCTTATAACACCAAAATGTTGTTTTTATTTAATTAAACACTCAGTGCTTTGCTTTACAGCTTCTTCAGGAGCATTCACTAAAACACTAACCGAAACTAACATTACAAAGTTTCAAATGGTTTAAATAATAACCTTGATTCAAATCTATAAAATGCATTTGTACAGAGTGCTTTTGACATATTAAGTAGTAAAGCTTATTGTTGAAATAATTAACTGTTAACTGTAGTAAACAAAAGTTCTATCAAGGTTACAGAGTGAGATAATCAAAAGATAGTATAAAAAATATAATAATTAGAATTATAGGTGCAATCCTTTCTCCCTATTCATCTGTTGTCATGGTTGTTTGATGAGAATAGCTTCTTTGAATTTTCTGTCGGTTTACTTGGTGGCTTTGGTGAGGATTTGTGCAGAGAATGGTGGTTTCAAGTCAGGTGTTATTTGTCTATGATTAGTTAAAATATGATCTGCAACTGTGCCTCTTTCATGTTGTTGTTTATAAAGAGCGTCAATATGTTCTCCTGTCATTATGTGTAGAGTTATTTCGGTTTCTCCTATGTACGTATGATGGCAGATGTAAGCTGATAAACAACATTGGAGACAAGACACTCATCTTTAGATTGCAAACACATTTTTGTAAGACAGTTGGCTTTATTACATTGTAGGACAGTGTACTAAGATTTTGAAAGTTGGTTTTCTAGGGTTGGATGTGGCCATTATATAACTAATCGGCAGTTCAGACTTCATGATTATAGTTTTTTTTTCTTAGAGATAGCTTCGTTAATTAGAGGTGTTATGAAAAAAATAACCTTTATTGTGTTATCTTTGTAAAATCAGTTTTTTCCTCTTTGGTTATCTGTTTTCTCATGTTGGAAGTGCGATGCTGATTTTTGTGTGTCAATTCTTGAAAATTTGTTCGATGTAGAAAGGTGGATATTCGTTGCTCAGAAGAATTGATTTTAGTTCTGATTTTGGAATGTATATTGTTTTTTCACTACAGTTGCGATCAATTATGTTTAATTTTCCAATAATTGTGATTTTCTTGGAAGCTTTTGGAATGATGGGAGTTGAAGTTAAGGAAGAGATGTTTTCTTATTGGTTTTGGGAAACAAGGTAGATTGTATATTATTGTCGATCCTTAAGGTAACATCAAGAAAATCTATGCTTCTCTTGTCATTCGATTGATTCAGGGTGAATTGAATGTTGGGGTCTATGGAATTTAGAAAGTCTAAAAATTGGATTAAAGCAGGAAGGCTATGGTTCCATAGTCGAAACACGTCATCAATGTATCTAAGCCAGAGATCAGGGTTGGTGTTGATACCTTAATGCCACTTGTCAAGTGCCATTATTTCATAAACGTGCATGAATATTACGCCATAAATAACAGCGATTCTATTACCCATTAAGACACCACTTAGTTTGAGATATAGTTTGTTGTAAAAATGAAAATATCCATTGTGAAGGATGAAATGTAAGATTTCTCTGACAGTGTGTATTGTTAGTCCATACATCTCCACATTGTTTGTGATTTGACACGAATTCACACGCTGCATTGACACCATCCTCTGTTTGTATAGATGCTACGACATCCATTGTAAAGAGTATTGTTGATTTGATCACTAAGTACGGTACGTCCTTGATTCATGATAACAGGTCTTGTGTATTATTCAAGTGGTCTGGAATGTAATTCGGTAATAGCTCTAAAATTGTATGAACAAGCCAAAACAGACTCAGTGGCACTGCCATATGCTGAGACTATGGGTCTTAGTGGCATATCCGGTTTATGTTCCTTTGGTAAACCGTATAAATCTGAGATGCAACTGTTAGAAGGTTTAAGTTCATTCAGTGACTTCTTAGGGAGGTTACTTGTTTTTGTAAGTTAATAAATAATCTCTTTAGCTTTCGTTCTCAATTTTTTGGTAGGGTCACTGTTAAGTATTTAAAATTTATTCTTGTCTTTAAGGTGATCAAATACTTTTTCTTCGTAAATGTAAGCTTTACTACTTAATATATCAAAAGCATGCTATACAAATGCACTTTAGAGATTCGAATAGAAGTTATTATTTAAACTATTTGAAGCTTTGTACTGTCATTTTCAGTTTGGTATTTAGTGAACACTTCTGAAGAAGCTCTAGAGAAACGTTGAGTGTTTAATTAAATAAAAACAACATTTTGGTGGTCATAAAGTCATTTATTTCTAGTATTACAAAAACTGTTGTTATGAAAGCTTAAGTTAATTAGAAAAAGCTGTGTAAATTTTTCATGTGGGTAATTAAATTAATAATGTTGCAGTTTGGTTGATGGCCCATTTCTAGATGCGATTTTTTTTTTTAAGTCATTGCAATAGAATAAAACAAATGTATTTTATACAATTTTGTGGTGCTTTGCTTCTATACCTTGTAAAAATATGTCTTGATATTTTGTGCGTGTGTGTAAGTAAAAGTTAGTCTTTAGTGTAGTGTTGTGTCATTTGCCTTGTATTGGTTATGACAAATTTTTGGTTTTAACTTAACGAATTCAGTTTGTAGATGGCTACCTTGAAGGTTTGGATTATATAGCAACTTAAGAAATAAAGGATAAAATCTAAATTGTGGTAAATCTACACCTGCGAAAACTTACAAGATTGCATTATTCTTTTGTCAAGTTTCAACACCTATTAAAATAATAGACAATTGATCTTTTTATTTATATATATAAGGATAATAAAAAAAATGTGCATTTATGCAGAATATGAACACTTTGCACAGTTTAAGTTTATTTTTTATTGAACTTGTACTGGTTTTATGTGAGAAGAAATTCAGTTATTTGAATAAGTGGCGAAGATGTTTGTTTAATATTTTAAATACATGTATGTTTTTTTGAAATAACTAAAAATTGTTTTACCAAAATGTGTATTTGGCAAATTAATGATTATCAAGATTTATTTGGTAATGATAATCACAAAATATGTAAGTTTGCATTTGTATTATAAATTACTATTACTTTTTCATTTCTAAGATTTTAAAGAAGTTTATACAGCATTTGAAACACTAACTCTTGATCAAAACAAAGTTTTAGTTTTGAAAATACATAGATACATGTGTATTCAGTACATGTATTTTTGTTGAAAATGAAAGAGGTTTTCTAGAAATGTTTTTATCATTTGGCCAAATAAACACCAACTGTTTCATTGCTACAATATTGTTTGCAGCCACTACCATTTCTATATGACCATTTCAATCATACAATTATACCTTTTTTAAGTGAATATCTAATTTGTAACATATTACCTTTAAAGTATCATATTTGATTTATACCATATATTAGTTGTTTTAAAGAGAGATTAATATATTTTAATGTTGTTTTGTGTGTTGTTTGACAGTAATAGCTTTTAGGATATACTTTTTTGATTAAATTTTTTTGTAGTACAGTCATCTATGTACTGTATAATTTTTTTTAAATTCTGAATTAAAAATCTAAAATCGTAATTCATCTTTTACGTCTCTAATGTAATGAGATCTCCAGTTTGATCAGTTGACGCAATGGAATAATGAATGTTTGAAACAAAGTAAAATTTATGCTGTATTTAAAGTAAAGTTGTTCTTTTATGGTGATTACAACTACAACCTACTCAAGTTATTC